CAACCAAGGACCTAACTGAAGAAAAAAAGTTGCTAACAGCAGGTAGTTATGTTGAACTCCCATTTTCGCTTTTCACATAGTTTATGATCTTCAGTATTGAAATTTGAAATAATAATATATAAAATTCAACTCAATACACAAAAAATTTCATCCCTTCCACAAAGATATCGTAGTTGCAACGGAAAAGGGAGTAAAAAGAGGATACCCATTATCACGTAATCTTTTCACTGCATGCCTACACCCCATTATACGCTGCTGCAAACTTCGGAAAAGGGGTACGTCTCAAGCATGTGCGTTTTGCCGATGAGATTGTCCTTATCACAGAATCTTCGGGAAGCTCCCCAGGAATGCTACATCGCCAAAAGGAATAAGGAAGTTGGTACGGCCTGGTTATAACTATAGAAACAAAGGTAATGCGGAATTCGTTGTCGAACTACACTTGTCCTTTTTGATGAACAACCTTACTGGAGAGCTAGCCAGACGCCGCAAAGCTGGATGGACTGCTTTCAAATCCATAAAAGTACAGCGGCGGATAATGGAGGAAGCAAACTGCTCGCGGATCTATGGAAATTAGCGGTTCTAAGCGCTCTAATATATGCAGGAGTGACTCGAATTTTAACGAATCATTAGGAAAGGTAATAGGTTCGTCTATGTATCGAATGGACGTCGTCTTAGAAGGTCTATCTCCAGAGTGACAGCAAGAGCTGGAACTTTACAACTGGGACACCAGAGCCAGTCAAAAATGATCTTTTTCACGTCGATGAAGCAAAACAGATCCATCGACACTTGGTGAGGAGAAATGACGAAATGGAATGATAACTGCACAATGGTACCCACGCAAAAAGAAACGGTCACCCGACCATACTCTAGCACGTTAGGCAGTCTCTCTGGCTTGCCACAACAACTTTCCCATGTGTCTTAAGGTATCCGTCCACTGGAAACCCCAGCTCAAAACAGAGATCGATGGAAAGAAGTTGGGACCTGCACAAGCCAACAGGAAAGCCAAACCGGAAGGCATAACGATGGGTCGTCCGAGCATCTAATTGTAAGTAAGTATATAAGTCCATGGAAATCTAGGCGCTCATGTCGCGTGGGGGAGAGAGAAGGGTGCATAAATGAGTGAGCCACTTGCAGCACTTGGGACTAAACCTTAGCGAGGGAAAGGGACACTGGTGGAGGATACGAGCGATTTATGTTCTCACTGGCGGTTGACCCCTCTCTCTGGGTTTAGGAGGTCCTAGCTGTCTTTTAATCAATCAGGCCTGTTAGCTGAATGCTTCGAAAGCCATGAGCCGGCCTAAACCTAGTCAGATAAGGAAATACACAAAACAATGGCGTTAATAATTAATTAAAAAATGACTTAGAAAGAAAACTATAAAATCAATCAAATGCAAAACACACCTGTTAAAGCAGCCATCATGGGTATGAGACTTCACAGGAATCGGTCCGCTGATACGCTCTGGCTTTCCTCGACGAGGAGGTAGGTCATCCGAGGGCACCACCGAAACAGTCTCGTCCGGCGCAATTTGGACGTCGGCATTCTTCAGAAGAATGCTGCGCCGAATGCGGTCACTGCCACAAGGAATGCCTATAAAGGAGCCTGACTATGTGGTAATTGAATATTAGGCCATGAGTGGAACACCACAACGATGCTACGAAAACAGTACATCAGACTGACACAGGCGAGTGAAAGATGGAAAGCAATGTAGATAAGACCACACGATGAGTTGCGATTCATGGAGTCTGTGACCTTGGCGTTTATTCCAGAGGGTAGTTCAGGGGAGAGAGCTACTTCACTGCTCAGTAGCATTGACATGACAGCCGCTCGGATATATCTCAACAAAATGTTCTGCTCGAAAAAGTCAGTGCCAATAAACACTCATCAATGCAGTATGAAAACGTATGAGACAGCAGGTAAGGCCCTGTTCAGAGATGGCCGCCGACGCGAAAAAACGCAGAGGCGAAATGAAATGGCATAATGTATCGATCAAGCGGAAACGCTCAGGCGAAACGTCAAGTGGGAGGATCGACGAAAATGAGTGACATACGTATCGATTTGCTGACCGACGTTCGCCTACTCCGGGCGTTTCGCTTACGCGTTTCCCTATTTCCCAATCGATGCGTATCTAAACCTTGGCGGACACTACGTTTCTTTTCGCCTGCGCGTTTCTCTCCGCGTGAGCGGACACTCTGAACAGGGCCTAACGCAGTACTGCGATTTGTTACAAAGATGTAATCAGCAAGATTTATTACCAAATTTAGTCTAAGCGTATCGCCAAATGTTGCAAACAAAGTGCACTCATTTCTGTGGGGACTGGACTTTTTATTCGTTCGGGTGGATGGACAGGAAAAGTGGTCATTCTAGTTGAGAAGCCTTCTAACTAAATGGAGCTTTTCCCATGTAAGAATACATCTCAAAGTTTCGGTTGTTGACAAACTTTTTCTAAGATGAAAGAAGAGCTTACAAAACCATGTGAAGGGGTAAGGCGACCACGACTTGATGCCGCGATGGAGCGACGCGAATGTTTGGACGAGTTCCACTGACGTCCGATCTGTTTCTGGGATACGGTGGTTGTTTGTTTTGGGTTGCACCCAATTCTTCAGAGGGAGTTTATTCTTGTACCATTAATTCGTTTCCTCCTTCACCTATTCTTTTTCTATGGTTTCTTATTTGACTTGGTTTCATACTTCATTCATTCAATCGTAGCTTTTGGCAACCGTGTTCAAAGCTAATTTTGGTGTAAAATTTTTGACGTTGTAGCTATGGTCGCTTGGAGAGCTGCTGGAATTAACTATGTGCGCTTCTCCCAGATTGCAGCGGAAGTCACCAGGAAGTGCACCAAACGCGCACCTAAAGCGGCTGAAGTGAAAACGTCGCCAGCTACATTGAAAGTAAGCCTTGTTTCGCTATTCTCAAAGGACTGATGAGCTGGGGGAATTGTCACTGGACAGTTTTATGGCACGAAGGTTACAGGTATGACGCTGTGAGAAGCAGTGAATTTTCAGATATGATCCTTCCAAAGAAATGCTTGTTTTTGTCATCTAGCTTCTGCCAAATTTTCAAGTAGATAGTATATTTTGTTGCGGTATTGAAACATTTTGCAGTAGTCTGAGAAGGGGTACTGTCTATGAGTTCAGTGTTTCGATATATGAGATATGTGACATGCCACTAGCAAGTACTCTGGTTAATACACGTATCCATCCTTGTACTCCTACTGACTAGTAAAGGGCGCCATTCGTTACGGGTCCCACTGCCTCCTGCTACAGTGAACCCTTCAATGTGGAGCGGGGAATCCGTGAGCCAGGGGCAGTGTAGCCAGTCTAGGGGGGTGGGGGGTGAGGGCAGTCACTTGACATGCGTGAGAAGCTGGAAATGTTCGAATTCAACCGCGATCGCTTGGGATCCCCGCGGGTTAAGGCAGTGGGTCCCGCAACGAATGGCGCCCTATACTAGTCAGTAGGAGTACAAAATGATCACTCCTTAACACACTGCGTTGCAAAAATATAAATCCACCTGGAAAGTTCTTGAAAATTCGCATGATAGGGTGTTTCTGAAAAAGCCTTTGAAAGAAAAATGTGCTCAATATAAATATAATTTCGAGTGTAAACACCAACTTCCATTTCGAAACACGAAAATTTTTTTATTTTCATTTTCAGAAAAGGGCCACTTTGCCGATTGTGCAAAAATATAAATCCACCCCATGTTTCTCGGTTGAACTTCATTGTTATTTGGCGTAACTGTCAGGTTGTTTCCACTTATTCCTTTCTTAGGTGATGACGGAAGTAACACCGCTATCGGACTCGAAAAAAGGCGAAATCTGCAAAATAGTGGGGAGATTTGCCGTGCAGTCAAATCGCGCGTGATTTGAGCCCCGCTTATGTGGTTGTTGAGCATTTCGTCAAGAATCCTGCAGCATGTAGGAATCCAGAAAGAACATTAAATCTTTCTCTTCACGTTTCAGATGCGAT